AAGTTGAAGTTAAGAATTAGACAGGAAAGGAACTTAAAATTTAACTTAATAAAATTAACTCAATTCTTACAACCCTTATCTCGCATTTCTTTAGTCTAAATCTTAAATAACGTTTTATCTAAGGGTTTTAGTTAGAATTTCAATTATTTTAAAAATTTCAATAACTGAAAAACGAAAGAAATTAAATATTTCTTAACCATTTTTAAAAGGATAATTCACTGTTTTTGCAGTAAAAACTGCAGAGTGGAAAAATATGCTAGTTCCTGATTTGATAGTGTCTCTAACAACTTTTTGATGAACTAATTAAACATGTTTGTTATATCTGTTATTTCACTGGAACACTTCTTTTGTGGGTCCTATGCTGTTATTGCATGTTGAACATTATTTCGCCTAGATTAAGAAAAAGAAGCACATAACATGAAAAAATTAATTATTTAGAAAAACTATCAAATTAAGGTCATTTTCTTCACCTCGAAATGCATTGTTTTCCCTATACGAATTTCGTATTCTGACAGCACGGAAATAGTGGCCACATAACTTGTAGGAGATATTTCTTATAAACCTCGTGTGTTGGCGATCAAGTAGAAAAAAATGCATAATTATGGAGCTACATTTTAAAATAATTTTTTCCTTATTGAATGAGTTCAAAAGTTTCTCTAATATCTTGTTTTTCTAGCATGAAATGTTTCACCAGTTTTTAAGGTTCTTTCCTAAGAATAATTCATTAAGCAGAAGTTAGTAAGAACAAGTAAAGGCATACTTCAAATTTTATCTCTTAGGTTTATTAGGTCTGGCTACCAAATAAACGTTTTTGAATTCAACATCAAATTTTAAACATAATTTTCTTTTAATTAGTGTCTTAACTTTTATTTTCAAAAACATGCACGTAATCCATCACGTAAGTTTAGTATAAGAGAAGTGTGACAAATTATTTGTACATTCAGTCACTATTAAAAACTAATTCTTTCTAGACTCTGTGTCCTCAATCAGGAGGAATAGCCCTAAGGGGAATTTCACAGTTTTAGAGAGTAATTTAGTTAACCTTTTCTTTACGAATTAAGTATTTAGATTTAGTTTATGAATATAAAAAAGCACTTTTATTCAAATTTTGGTATTTACCAACATGTTTTATACTTGTTTAATTTATATTAAAAATAATCCATATTTAAACAAACGCATATGTACTTTTCAAGTTTTGGGAAGGAGAGGTTGAATGATCGTTTAGCAATGGTGAAAAGGGCACATGAGGGAAAAACTGTTGAGAATCACTGGTCTAGACTGAGCCAATTTGAATTAAATATAGAATTTTATACTTTACGGATCTTTAGTTCTTACTGTAGAGTCATTAAGTGTTTTTTTTTTTTTTTATGCGGGAGACATGACAAATAAGCAATACCCTCTTCTAGACTAGAGCCTGTATCTCTCGAATACAAGTCGAATTTACTAAATGTTACACCACAAAAGCATTCTGGAAGAGGGAGAAAATACCTTATATACTCCCCATTTTAAAGACAACTGGGTATTAGGAGACCCAATCGTCCAATCTTGGTGGAGAATAATCTTTTTTTTTTAGTTCAGGCGTCATGCTAGAGACGTGAAAAATTAGCAATGCGCTCACTAGGACTCTAACTTGAACCTCTCAAATACGTGCCGAGTTTGCTAACCGTTACACCACGAAGGCATGCTGGAACTAGGGAGAAAATACTATCCTGTTATGTATTATTTCAGCATGTATACTTGTCAATTCTACTTTCCGTCCGCTTCCTCACCCGAATGTAAATAAGTTAGTAAGTAAACATGTTTAGGATGCAAATGAGTTAAGAGTATCTTAAGGCGAAGCTTTTGCGATTGAAAGGGAATGCAAGAATTGTCTACATCGATTTCTGCTGTTAGGGTTTAGCCATTTGTGGGCCGTTGCATTAAGTGCGTCAGTAAGTTAATTGTCTGAGAAAGCCTATTAGGCTGAATCCTTGAATTCCTCTATTTAATTTACTACCTTTAAATGTTACGTTTAGTAGTTGTGCTGATACTTTAGCAACTCAATGTTTTGTTGATTGAGTTGTTAAAATATCAACACAACAATTTAAGTATTGTTGTATGGTTGTACTGATACTTTAGCAACTCATTCGTCAATACTGAGTAGCTAAAGTATCAGCACATCTATACAACAATATTTAAATGTAAGCAGTAAGCATAAATATGCAGAATGAAGTAAGCTTTGTAAATAATTTTATAGTGATAACTTAATTTTGATAGTAAACACTGATGTAAACAGATTATGTTTGCAAACACGCCCTAAGAGAACACCATCTACATCACGCCTTTATCTACTGCAACATGTAACGTCCTGAAACATATCTTCATCACGCCTTTATCTACTGCAATATGTAATGTCCTTAAACATGATGCCTGTACCCATTACAATAAATAATGCCATAAAACATACACCTGTAAAACTATGTATTGCTATATATATATCATGTAATGTAATGCATTTTACTTGATCTAATTTAACCCCCAGCGGTGACAGAACTTACAGTGTTGACTGGAGTCACAATTTCATCATGACTCGAAAATGCCGGAAGGTTGTTGTTTTTCTAGTCAGTGTGTAGAGCTAATGTCTACTTACTTCAGGTAAATATTAGGTGGACCCTTCACTTCTACGTAACATAACACCACGCGCAGTGGTCTATATGTTAAGCACAAGGGTGTACTCTTGTAAATAGTTCTCTTGGATAAAAGGTTTCAACCTTTATCCTTATTCTGTTGTTACTGAACATCAAGTAGATTAGTGAGTTTGGTTTGGTGTATGTGAGCACGGCAAAGCCTCGAGGGCTATCTGCATGAGGAAAGGGATGCCTTTGTGGAATACTTTCTAAGAGAAACTGGCTTGTATATATGCTACACATGGGAAAACTCATGAAAATCTCTATACAATCAGCCCATTTGCGGAACTTGTACCTCAGACCAAAGTATCAGTGTTTAGTGATTAACTATTTTTAAGGTAATATGGCTGAAATTATGCTATTTTTAAGGTAATATGGTCACCAATAGATATAATTCACTATAATTATTTTCTAATGGATAATGGAATTAATTTAATCTAATGCCAATTAGAAAACGGCTATTTACAATAGGGAGATTTAAAAGTACTATAATTTTTCTTTCACAATCAGCTGTTATATAACATTAGCTGCTTTCTGTGTATTTTTCATGTTATATAACTGATATCCATACGTCTTGAACAAATATGTAGCAAATGCAAGACAAATTATTAAAAAATTACAATTTTAAACATTAATACTAATTTTCTATAACTATACATAATACTATTAATGAATGATGAATTTATATAATATGTGTACTTAGAATCTAAATACAATGAACTTTGAATCTGATGACTCTATGAATATATATTTATGTAGTAACAAAATTTTATTAGATGTTATTATGCATAGTTCTTTGTAATCTTCACAATCTCTAATAAAATGCTACATATTTATTACTATATTTAAATTTAAGTAGACATGTTGACTTTAAGAGTTGTTCCATCCCCCCCAAAATAAATAAATAAATAAAATTAAAATTAAAAACACTATTCCAAATTTAGTTGAAATATTAAGAGGTTACATTTGGAATTCATTTTCTGACAGGGTGTCAGCTGACAGTTTTAATTTATTCAGAAATCTAAAAGAAAATATCTCTAGAAAATGGCCAAATTATAATTGTTACATTCAAAAAAAAAAAGACTTCAGTGAGAAATATGTTTAAACTTTGATAATAAGCATAGTCTAATGTAAAAAATAAAATATATCTTAGCCAAGTTTTCATTGTGCTTAACTGTTTTAATATTCCTAAAATAAAAAGGAACTAAAAAATAAAAAAGATATAAAATAAAATTCAAGTGTTTTAAATTAAAAAGTTAATAGTTTTAATAATGAAACATATATTTAATCTCAGCCATATTACCTTAAAAATAGCATGTGAGAAACTCCACAATGATATCTTTTCATTTTCATATACAGATACCAAATTTAAATAAGTAAATAAATAATAAAATGCAATTTCAGATTTATCATCAAAACGTTATAGCTAATCACTTAATCAGAGAGTAGAAAGTTTGCTTTCAACCTAATAATAAAGTAGTGATAAAATATACAAACAGACATATATTTGAGAGATTAAAATTCAGATTTGAATACTCCATTTATTATAATTAAAATTATAAGTACACGGTTTAGTAATTAAAGCCATAAGTCCCTTTTGATTATGTGCACTTTTATCAGTGTGGGCTTTTATCAATGTGCGCTTTTATCGCTGTGGGTATTTGTCGCGTGAGCAATTATCATAGTTGGCTTTTTTTTTTTTTTGTGGGCTTTTGTTGCATGCGCTTTTGTCCAGTGGGCTTTTGTCTGGGAACCATTTCATATGTAGTGATAACTCACTAACTTGTCTGATAGGGCTCGCAGGACCTAAAATTCAATTTAGATTAATACCAACCTTACAGCTTGATTGTCTCCTTTGGGAAGAGCCAACCAGCATCCGAATGGTAAAGTCGCTGAACACTGGTATTTCAGCCCACGGTTTGAATCCTGAAGAACGGGATGGCTGTCTGGGCATTTCCCCCGTGTGTATTGTGTTATGAGCCAGTTCCCTAGAAAGTCCTCCACAAAGGCATCTTTTCCCTTAGGCAAACAGCTGTTGATATACTATATATTAGACATATCTTCCTTTCCCCAAAGCAGATAGCTGCTGATATATATATGTATATATTAATTACACATATATTTATAACCTTCTATATTTATAACTGCTATACTTAGGCCTTTTTGAATATTACAACAGGAAAGCGGTAGACTAGAATAATACATGATAATAAAAAGCTTCAAAAACTTACATATTAGAGGCAAAAGACTTTAAACAATAAAACTGTTGATATTTTAAAAGAAATAAGTCACTATAAATTTTATTTTTTTCATTGCAAACTGAACTTCCCCGCCTTTTTTTCTTTTTAAAATTTTTATTTACAAAGAAAAAATACTACAATTCTGGGATTTCTACTCAGCTAAAAATTTTATTTACAAGCTTTGCAATTGTCCTCATTTTCTACATCTTCTAAGGATACTACTTCTTTTTGTACACCTGTCATTCCAATGTAATATATCACACTGTCCTTCGAACTACTTCCATGCCTCCTTGCAAGATCACGGGCTGAAATAATAAAAACTGTTAATATGAATGCTGTAACTTAAAACATCTCTTAGCATTTAAATAATATTTCAGTTATAAAATGGGCTGAATTAGAACACATAATAAAATTTATGAACATTTTTTATTTTAAAGGTATGAAAAACCAAATCACAAAATTTTTCAGAAAAAATACAAATTCAGATTTGGAAGGAAAGAATTACACAACTGCTAGGATGTAAAAGATCAGAGCTTAAATTGTGCCTTAGTTTTTGGAATAAATCATAATTCTAGCCAGAGCACATCGGAACACTAAATAAGAACACTTCTGCACTTCTTTAATGTAACTAAACAGCAACTTCAGCAGAAATCTCAACTCGAAAATTTTATTTTTAACAATAAAATTATATTAAAAATCCATTCTAACTTCTGAATGCATGCTTCTCTTTCCCTTCAAAACAAACCCTTTGATGAAAGTCAAGACTTGTAAGAAAAGCCTCCACCACAAACCCTTATTTTCCCCAAAGTACAATGAATTTATGACAGCAGGTTCTAGTGTCTTCGTGCAGAAAAGAGCACTTGCAAACTTATTAGAACGATGTAACCAAAGATGGGAGATCAGAATTGTCATTGTTATTTTTTTTCAGCTAACTCTTGGATTTGGTGAAAATTTGTTCCTCTGTCATATTCTGCTTGACAGTTAGAATTATACTGAAAAGAGGGTCATGGTTCAGAAAATGTTGGATCCTTCTCTTTTTATTTTCATAACTACAGGTCATCCGTTAAAATTTTCTCCATATTCTCTTACTGTTTATAGCATTTTCTGTATTTTCATTGTTGACGTTTTAACCATTTTAACATTTTTCATTGGTGTGCTGGAAAAAGAATGGTTTTTGTATCTATCATGCCTTGAGGAAGTACATTATATTCAGAGCTTAATTAAACCGGACACTGGTTGAGCTATTTCATAATTTTGTGTAATTGTAATTTCAGCCGAAACCCCAAATAAGTCACGATCCAGTACTGTATTTTATTATTTATCATTTATTGAATAACTTATTATATTTTTATTTATCTCTTTACAGTTTATTAAACTTTAATTTAAATTGTTTAATTATTCTAATCATTAATTATTTAATTGTTTTAAATAGTAATTATTTTACTTGTCATTTTATTTATTTATTTATTTTTATCCTTCTTTTCTGACAGTCTTCCATAGGGCTCTGGTGCCCTATGAAGAAGAAAATTAGATTTTTAGAAATTAAGCCCTATAAAAGGTTAAGGTGTTTAAAGGTGAATCCAAGGTAAGCAAATTTCATATTGACCATCTTTATTTACAGTAACAGTTTCTAAAATATTTTCTTTAGTCTGAAGATTGGTCTAATGTTTAGCTTTTCTACACGATCACCAATTCTGTTAAACCTAATATCCACAGATTTGAGACTTTAGCTACATTTATAAGTATTAATGTCAATGTCATTGCTAAGTTTTCATCAGAGGCTTCTTCTACTGGTACCTTATTCATTAATGTCCAACTTAAACAGGTTTCTACTAAACCCGATGCCAAAAGCTTGCTATTTTGGGTTAATAAACTTCCCATTGTATTAGCTCTGATGAGAATATGAATGGCTCCACAATTAATCATAGTGCCTGTCAATATTATGTCATTTCTTTCTAGTTCTCTAATCCAAGGGCTTACAATCTGAATAACATCACAGACTGTAGCTTGATCCAAAAATTCAGGTAAACTTTTATTTCACCTTCTCAACTTTATTTTATAGCAGTTTTGCTTCAACTCTTTAGTTAAAATATCTCCGAAAAAAGAATGAGCCAAGAAAGAAGAAAGTATTCTTGATGAATGAGCAAATAATTTACTTCTTTTACATTCTTTAAGATGTAAGATTTATTAAAAGCTGAATCTAAAAGTAATTTCATAGTCTTATTTACCATCAGATATAAACTTAGCTTTCAGAATTTGAAAAAACACTCTAGGGCTATGTCCATTGATATTAGATCAATTGACTTCACTTTCAAATGGCTTTTCTTTTTTTTTCTGCTTCCCGTTATGTTGGCTCCGATGAAAATATAAATGGTTTTGCAATTTATAACATCTGTCAAAATTATTTCATTCCTTTCTAGTTCTCTAACCCAAGGGCCTTTACACACAGGCACAGGCCAAGTATTACAACAGACTGTAGTTTGATCCAGAACTTAAAAATTACAGGTAAACTTTCAGTCTAAACTTCTCAACTTTATTTTATAGCAGTTATGATTCAACTCTTTAGTTAAAGCATTTCCATAAAGAAAGTAAACCATACTTCCTTGATGGACAGGCAAATAACTCATTTCTTCAGCTATATTCTTTAATAAGATATAAGATTTATGAGAGGCTGAATCTAAAAATAATCTCCCAATCTTTTGTTTACAATTTCATCATCTCAAATGCAACCTTGGCTGGCATTCTGACAAAATACATAGAATCGTCCAAAAGGTGCATTAGATATGTGTTACGAGGTGAGAGGTTCATGTGAAAGTATTCTCTTTACCAGAAAGAGGAAATTTATACGACCAAGTCCTCATGTCATTGAGTTATGCTGTCATCATTGTAGTTCATGCCTTCGGGTTTATTACAAAAAGATCTATCTATCTACCTTTGTAAATATTCGCAAAAATAAATGCTAAATTTCACCTTAGTTCACTGTCAAAAAGAATGTTTAAACTTTTTCTCATAATTTATGAATTTTATATGAACAATTCCTGTTTCATTGCTTACTCTTAAAGATAAGGTCACAAAAAAACATGGAACTATATTTCTTTAGCAAAAGTATTCTTTTTGTAGTAAGAAAAAGGAAACGGGCTTATAGGTTTCCATCTCATTTGAGCGAGATTATCTAGATCATACTTGATTTTAACGTGATATTTGCCATTATTGCGGTCTTTTATGCAATTGTTAGAGATAGCTTGTTTTTATCACTAAAATAGATTCAGTTGGTAAAAACAAGGGTTTCACAGTGCTCAGAAATTTCATCATAATGTGATTACATTTTGTGACATGGAAGCTGAGAATGGAGAACTTAGAATTCCCATCTCCCATTTCACGAAAAGAACCAGCAACATTGCAGAAATATCACTGATGATAATAGAGAAAATTCTTTGAGATGCAGAAAGGGAGCAAGAGACAGTTTTCTATGCTCTGAAAAAAAAAAAAAAAAAAAAAGCTCAAAAAGAAAGTATTAGGGAGAAATATTAAGAAATGTACTGCATAGTATTGGACTTGCATGGAGAAAAACTTGAAATGAAAGAAGTGACGCTGAGTTACGAGGAACAAAATGTCTTAGTGAGGCAAGTTTGTTTGTGCAAAAAGACATTTAATTTACTTGGATGAAATCTGGGTGGACAGCAACATAGCATTCTCAAATGCTGGTAATCAGAAACAGTTGTTGTGCAGAGTGGCAATGCATCTAAAAGACTTATTATTTTATATGCTAGAGGTGATATGGGATTTTTCTCTCATACACCTCTTTTTGCCAGAAAGAGGGTCTAATGTGGTATACAATGCAAATATCACATCGGGGGACTGTGAATCATGAGTAAATAAATTCTGTGTTTCAAAAGATGACTTCTGAAAAACTTATTCCAAATCTTCTACTACATGCTGTAGTGACTTTAGACTAAGTTTCCTACGAAACTGTCCATCCAACTTTGGCAATATATATATATATATATATATATAAATTATGCAGATGTTATGCAAGAAAAATGTACAGTTCTCTCCAAAATTACAGAAAGTAGAGTTGATGGAGATCATGAGACAAAATTCTCTTAAAGAAGATCATATAAATTTGATTTAATGTTTCAAGAACATGGTTTTACAGGTACACATCTGCCCCCATACCACTGCAACATTAACAGAATCGAATTCATTTAGGGTGAAATAAAGCAATTTGTATGGAACTGTGACATAGTTGGAGATGTGGCAATGGATAAATTATTAAAAATCACAGAAGAAGCTCTTGGAAGTGTAGTGACAGAAAGCTTGAAATGGTACCGTACCTATGCAGAAAACATTGAAAATTAATAACTATTAGAAAAGGATGGTTTAATGGAAGATTTATGCAAATCTTTAATTATTTCTTCTTATGAAGAGGATGATAATTTGGATATGTATAGTTACTGTACTACAGAATAATAAGAAGCACAGAGATAAGAAATTTCATTTCCCCTCCTTGGTATATATAATACTGCTAGTATACCTTTTAGTGCAAAAACCAAAGAGATATATTAGTTATTAATTAAATAAATAAAATAATTATTTATCACCATACAATTATTATGAATTTTTTAGTGTGTACTAATACACATAAATTTTAGCTCAGATGACATAATATTAATTAATTAATTATAATTATTTCTTATTGTAAATATTATAATTTATTATAATGACAATTAAATTATTTAAATTCATTGTAAAAATAATACGACAATGAAAACCATATAATAAAATATAATAATTGAGCAATTATAATTGCAATTAAAATACAATAAAATTCATTATTAAATTTTATTATAAAATAATGCTTATATAGCAAACCTAATTTGGAAAACATTTGCATTTTTACTTATATATAAATAAATAAATGCACAAAATTAAATACACTGTAATAAAACAGCTAATTATAAATGATGAACAGCATAACAGCTTAGATTACTTAAAAGTAATTTTCTGTCTTCTTATGTTTGTGCTCTTTGAATGACGTAGAAATAAACAGAAAAAAATACCTACAACATTATTCATGTCTATTCCCCCTATTTTGAGAATAAATCAGTCCGAATGGCACGTGTGTTTGTACTTCACGGTCACAGCTGAGGTTGTCGACCTATACCATTAAATATAAGCTTAGCTTTCAGATTTTAAAGAAACACTCTATGGCACTGGTCGGCAAACCCTGGCTCGTGAGCTAAATGTGGCTCTTTGGCTCCTTGAGTATGGCTCTTTTACAAAATACCACATGCGGGTGCGCACAGGTAAAAGCAAGCAAATCTTGAAAATACAACACAAAGGCTGTCAAATTTTACACAAGAGTGAAAACAATTGAAAACATATCCGCCAAACTTATTCCTGCAAAATTTTTTTGTACCAATTTTGGCTTTTTTATTGTACTGATTATACATCAAATTGTGCTGCCATAGTAATTGTCATATATCAAATTTTAACTAATGAAATGCTTTGAATTAATATATCATTCAATAGCAATTTTATCTTTAATGAGAAAACAAATAACATAAAAATGAAGTTTAGTTTCAAAATATCAGGATTTTTAGCTTCTTCCTTTGAAGTTTTTTCTAGTGTCTGAAACAAATATTTCCCTAGCAACTGAATTTAGGCAACATAAAATACATAGACAATGTTTGGGTTGCATATAATATGAAAAATGTCTAATTAGAAACGTTAAAACTAAACTAAAAATCCAGATATTTTGACATGAAATTACATTTTTACATTATTTGGTGTATCAAGTTAAAATTGGTTTTGTACTGATTCTAGTAAGAACTTTTACTGATGCATTAATAAATGGGCCATTGTACTGATTTCAGTACAATGGCCCATTTATCAATCACAAGATACTTATTTACTGTTGAATCATTTATCAAGAAGCGCTTTGCGTGCAAACATTATGAACTCCATCATAGGTAAAGCTCTTAATCATAGCCAGTTTAAAGAATTTTTAGTTGAAATAGAGAATGAGTATGCAGATCTTCTGCTGCATAAAAGTACATTGGTTATCAAGAGGAAACATTTTGTGTCTTTATTAACAGAAATTAAAGCATTTTTCATTGAAAAGGGTGTTTATTATCTAGAACTAACAAACAATCAGTGAACCAAAAATTTTATTTCGTGGTAGAGCTTACGTCTCACCTAAATCAGTTTAATAAAAAATTACAGGGGAAAGGGAACACAATTTTTTTTCGATTTTAGGAGAAGTTATTTAATTTAAAAACAAATTATCTCTTTTCACTCAAGATTTTGAAAGCAAAACTTTGATTCATTTTCCAAGCCTGTTGAAACATCGCCAAGAAATTAATTCTGGTATTGACATTTGCTATTTCAAAACAATAGCTCTAAATATCAATGAAGTTTTTCTCAGCAGTTTCAGGAATTCAGAAACAACAAAGTGATATTAGCCTTTGTTAATAAACCTCTTAATACTACTCTAACAGAATTAAATTTTTCCCCCTTTAATACTGACATTGGCAACTTTGAAATCCAATTACTGGATAAAAAAAAAAAAAAAAAAAAAAAGAATTATGGAGTTCGAAATTTGAATGTCTTAGTGCTGATATAGAAACATTGTAGAAAAACGCATGTGAGCTTATATCACAGCACAAGTGGTCTGCTTTGAAAGATCTGGAGAAGATAGATATGATAATTTTTAACACATAGATATTTCAGGCTCATATAAACAGCTGAAAAAACTAGTGTTTGCTGTTCTTTCCTTATTCAGATTTACATATTCATGTGAACAATCATTTTCAAGCATGAAACTTATCAAGAGTAAATTGAGAAGTTATCTTATTGATGAGAACTTAAAATCACGCTTAAAATTAAGAACAACATACAATCCCGAGTTACACAAACTTTCCAAGGTGATGCAAGGCCATTGTTTGCATTACTGTTTGTTTGTCATTATCATAATTTAAATTTCTGGATACCTTACAATTTCAATTTATGAAGCAATAGCATGATTGTTAAGTGTAATATCAAGTTTTATTCGACAAAATTTAACTAAGACGTAGTATGAAACCATATGCATTAAATTAATAAACACAGAGGCATGCCTATCATAATAAATTTTGAATTACCAGTGATTAGTCGTCCTTGAGCATATGGAGAATCTTTAATTTCGTCAGATTTCTTTAAATATAAATACAATGTACATATAAATAGACTCCATGCTGACATAAAGTAGATAACTTTGGAAATCTTTACTCCTTGTTTTGCATATCCTACATCCATAGGCTTAAAATGGGACCGAAAGAAAACTCTCAGATAATACTGTATGAGACCCATTATGTGTTAAATTGAACCTGCATATAAGAGAATTGCAATATATATTAGAAATATTTTACCAAGTTTAATCAAACTAATTAATGCAAAATTACACATTAAAAAGCTACTTTCACATCATGTCTTTGAAGACAATCTGTATCATTTTTTTTTTTTTTTTTTTCCCTGAGCAATACACAAAAATACACATAAGCCAGTAGTGATCATACAATATTCATATTCACTTCATTTTAAATTGAAGTTCCAAAACACAATTTAGCAATTATGCAACATAATTCCTCATCTTTTCTGAAATACACTTCCAGGGCATGCACTGTATTATGAAGTTATTCTTCTTTGCTAATTCAATAACACTTTTATCTGTTTTTCCCATGTTATAAAGGCATATATTTATGTCACTGCAATCATATTCTTTCATAGCTTTAATATTCCCTTCATTATGGGGTTGAATGATATAGATACAGTATTTGCTGGAAGAAATATAGTTTCCATGTGCATTAGGAATACATTTACATTGTGTGGTTTACAATAAAAAGGATTTCTTTCTTAAATTCACCGTCCTGTTATAATTTATTGGTTATTATACTGAATTATAATTTTGTGATTTCACTTCCATGCTTTAATATGGCATCTATTTTGGTTGAAGAGGTTGAAGAGAAGGTAATTTGCTAATTACAATAAATGGTTAAAGCAGATTGAAGGGCACCCCTTGGATTAAAGCTAAGTTGTTGTTTCATTTATCATAAAGTTGTTTTATTTATGGTAACCTGAGTAGTTAAATGCTATGGAAACACTATTATGATATAATTGGTTGCGTGATTGTGGTGAATTTAAATGATGGGATGGATTTTGGAAAAGAAGTATGTTGTTGTTATGTGGTTTACACGGTAAAATGGCTGAATATTGCAAGATTAATTTGAAGTTTCTGTACAATTTTGAATGAAAGGAAGAAAAAAAAAGCATTAATTGACTGGTGTGTAAATGAAGGTTTACTTAGTTGCATTACAAGTGTCCTGTTTGTAGGAAGAAAATGCGTATGGTCGAACGCTGGAGGACACATGAACTATGGAGGATATTTTTGACTGATTTTTGTGAATTTATGTGGGGACACCAGTATACAGAATCTAGTTCAGATAATTTTAGGAAGTTTTTGGATGCTGTTAAGGAATTTTGTTTGATTGAAGACTAGGAAATTTGTAAATATGGTAAGTGGATATTTCCTTTGTGTAGTGTTATGATGGATTTCCTTTTTTACGTTATTTCATTGTTTGATTTAAAATGTAGTTTATTGAGATTATATATTTTTTGTTAGCTGCTTCTTTGACTTTTTTAAAGTGAATATAGATCGATGTGTACATGGACAAAGTCAAGGCAGTACACAATGCCTAGTTTGTGCAATTCTCTGGATTGGATTACTCACTTATGGCAAAGCACATGAGTGCTATCTGCCTCAAAGGAGAGATGCATTTGTAGAGGACTTTCTTAAGGAAACTGGCTCGTATACACGTTACACATGGGAAAAACCATAAAAACGCCCATGCAGCCAGCCCGTTCGCGGGATTCGAACCTCGGACCGAACTACCAGTGCTCAGCTGCCGGTGGGCCCTGTGCAATTCTCCGATTTTAAGTGAAAAGCCCTTTGTTTAGAACATCAAGGAAGGTGGAATGAAGATAAAATAACAGTAATTTAAAGTGTTTTTTTGTTATTCTAATCATAAAACATGATAAACTTATGAGGTAGTAATTTTTCAGTTAACTACAGAAATTCTGTAAAAAGTCTGAAAAATACAAAATATTTCGAGTCCTAGATATCCAAAATTCATTATATCACAATTTTATTACATTTGGAAATTTATTACAGCTGTATAAAATAACTTTAAGTGTACAGGGACCAGTAAGTTTGATATATTCCAGGTTTGCTATAGTGGGATTTGACTACAGCAAACCTGTATAGCATAGTATATTAGTTTCATTCCCCTGATAATTTTAAAATGTTATTCAATTCGTCTCAGTTTGGTCATCTAAAAAAAGGTTTTTAATCTGCAAACTGTTTGTTCAAATTAGAATTTAGCAGCATATACTTTATTAAATTTCTCATACTGTTAAACTTCTGAAGGTGAACACTTCCGAAAATGAAGAGCATTCCTTAGATCATAAATAAACATAGCAGAGAATATCTAAGGTAACCACATCTACAGAAAACAAAATTATCTGAATTATAGTTGCTCACCTAAGGGAAGTTTATTACAATTCTCTCCGGAGAAAAGCAAAATAGTTTCCAACTGAAAATTTTAAGCAGCTATTTGATTTACAAATTTTGAGGATCTGATCTAGTTTGAGGCACAATTAATTTTGATTCTCTTCCAAATTTAGCATAATCTTTATCATCAATAGCACAAAGTTTACTTACAATCTACACTATACTTTTATACAATTAGTGTATTTTCGTTTTCAAAAATATAAGATAAAAGCAATAGGATAATGAATGTTTAAACATTACATACTCTTGATTTGATGCATTTGCACGAAATAATTTAAGCACCACCAGAGCTAGATTAAAACTTGATAAGGCCCTAAGCTATTTGAGATTATGGGGGCTTTATAAGTCTTATAATATATTTTAATTTTTTAGGGGTTATCAAGAAAGAGCGGACCCTAAGCTATAGGTTGAGTAGCTTAATGTAAATTCGGCCCTGAGCACCCAATGTTTCTAAACATAAATTTGAGAATAGCGTTTACACGTTTGAAAAGTTACCCCACAAAAGGATCTTAATTGAAAATTCTTTTATGATTCATAGCAAAGAAAGAAATGAAATTTTCTTCTAGATAATTTTTTAAATTCTTACATTATTTGTTCATTGATATCGTTCAAAGGTGACAGGATGAAAGACTTAAGGTTAAATTGTAGGACATATCCTTCTACAGTAAGAAGTTTCAGAGTTAGAATATGGATGCTTAATGCAGCGCATAAAGTAACATTAGCTCAAATAAATGCACCAAAAAATTATTTTAAAAGCTGAGTAACGAAATGTGTATAACTGCACAAATTAGTATGAAACTTTTACTCTATGAATTTTCGTTCAAGTTTCTTATCCAAAGTCACGCATATATTAAATTAAAGATTTCGAAAATGACTTATAATTCAGAATTAATATTCATTACATACTACAAGTAAACAACAACAATCCCTTCATTTCCATACAGGCAGAATCCGCACATGTAAACAAAATGATGGGATGTTATCCATAGGAATAATCCTCTAGGTACTACAGTAATCAATCTACTACAGTAATACTGCAAACAAGTTATCTACAATAGACGTACAATTATTGTCCGGTAAACTACGCTGGGTACTTTTCATCCAAAATGCTTTTAAAAACATATATCAAGCGTTCATTTCATAGAAGAAGGAAAACACACCGGATAAGGAGTAATATTAGTACTAACCCAAATTTTCGAGGGGAGGGTACTGTTACACACACTTTAGCAAAATCTCTATTTCCATTTCGTTATAGCTTTTGGACAATAAAAAAAAAAAAAAAATTATGTTTTGATACTTCATAGATACGTTAATCGTCAAAATGGCCGAGCGGTCTCAAGGTTAGACTCAAGGTTAATGCCTTCCCTGTACGACAGGAAGATTCCAGAGAGGTTAGAATGACAAGCGTCTACGGCCAGCAGGTCACGATGCGGCGAGCATGCGCAGTATGATCCGCCGCTTCTATGACTGCCGTCTGTCCCTGTTCCTGGAATTCCTCCAGACTGGCGACGTTTTTCGCCAATTTGGCATTGTGCTGATCAAGTTTACTTTTGAGGTCATCCGACTGAAAGTGAAACTTTTAATTAACACGTTCAGTTTTTAATGGTGATGACTGACTCTTTATCGTCCATAAATCTGCCTATTCTAAACCAAATCATATTTCGAATATCGCTGTTGAGAAAAGAAAAGCATTCGAAAGACAAAATGCACCTTTGTATCTGGTACATTCTGCATGCATCATAAGTGAAAGATATTGAATTAGTATAAATATTAAAAAAAGATGTACTAAGATAATAATGTGATATCTATATATATAGGGTATTGTATATAATCAGATAAAAAGCAAATAAATATGCTTTGCCTTAAAAATTTGTGTTGGAGGAAAACTTGGTGTTATATAAATTATAACATGGGTTTGTAACTAGGGATTTTTATTTCAAATGATTGTATAAATCAGTCAATGTCTTTGCCCCCCAAAATTACGTCATGGTATCAAAATGTCGGCCATGATCAAAATGCATAACCTGTGTTCGATGTTATGCAAATTGTATTTCTTTCTTTGCACCGAGGAGCGGCGCAGACGCAAATTTGTTAGGTTTTTAAAGCTCGCGTTTAGAGCTTTGAGGTTGCTGTGAATTACTGGAGTTTCAACTAAGCAGAGGTTATTCTGAGTTTGTGTTGGTAAGCCGCCACTGAAGTCGGAGTTTGTGTGGTCTTCGCCGTTCCTCTTCGCCTAACTGACAGACAGACAGAGTAGACAGATGTCTTTTGTTGCACCCGCTAAGTCTTTCTGCACCGATGGGCGAAAAATCAAGCATAGGTGCGAAGGAAAGGTATATAGAAAGGGGGGCAATTTCGTATTTCAGAGGAGAGTAAAAAGGAACTTCGTATATTTTATACGAGTTCGAAAGGCCAGGAAGAAAAGATGGGACAAAATAAAGTAAAAAATAAATGGCCCAAAAGTAATGAAGAGGAAAAAAAAATATTTATAATTAAAAAAAAAGGCCTATAGAAAGAAAAGGAAAGGAAGTAAGAGAATTTTGTTAAAAAAAAAAAAAAAAAAACACGATTGTGTTCATGAGTGTAGTCAAAGTTGTTATCATTTACATTAAATACAGTCTTCCAGATGTGTGTAATGAGTGTGTTTTGTAAAGCTGAATAGAGGTAAAGATGGGGAAAATTAATAATAAAATAATAAATTTTGGGGATCCAGTCACATAACAGTATAAGTCAAGTTTAGAAGCTAACTTTTGCTATAACAGGGAAACTAAAATTTAAAATTTTTTAAATTTAAACTTTTATTTTTTTACATGGAAACCAATATTAGCCTCTACCTTGAGACACAGTAACAGAAGACACATAAGATCAAGATACATATAATATCATGCAAAGTTATACATTAAACTAAGTAACATCATTTATTGCGGTTTCCAACATATTTATATATTCAGAAAACACCATCAGATAAAATCATTAATCCAAAACAAGGCGAGAACATATCAGCAAAAATAAATAAGTAAATAAATTACGGAGTTTTTTTTATTATTATTAATTAATTTTTTTTAAAAATAAGCATTTTATTTATTTATTAAGTTAATGGTCATAATTTATTATATGTGTACTATTTTATCAATTTGAGGCACACTGTATTAATATATGCTTTTAATTTAAATAGATAGGAAATATAGATTAAAGGAGCAAAAACTACAACTCTGTACATTCATTGAGGCCCGAGATCGTGTTTTTAGCTCTCGAGACATTCCTCAAAGGGGCCCCAATGGGTAGGGCTAACACTACTGATAATGGCTACTGATAAGGATAGCGTCCCTACGAGATGGTAACCAAAACAGAACCACATGATTTAAAGCAATTACTAAGTATTTAATGCCAAAACATAATAAAATGAGCATAATAATAATAATGATCATAATAAATGAATGAATTTAAAGGTACTTTAGTGACAGATATTTGATTTAGCTTAGAGAAAAGAAGTTCTACTTATCTGAACGCTCCGTCTTAGTGCTGCAAAAGATTGCAAGGAAGACAAGACCCCCCAGGTACAGGAGAACTCCCGGCTTTGAGAACGAGACAATGCAGAGGATATTCGCGAAAATTTTCTGAAATAAATGAAGATTTTTCGGAAAACACCTTTGAAAATTCAGGAGCTCTTCCAAGATCCTGCCTCCATCGTACGTGATCACAGCGCCCTCCTCTTCGCCTAACTTACTATTTGAAAGTCAATAAAGAAGTTTCGGTCAACGTTAGGAGTCTGAGGTTTTTTGAGTTCTATACTGAAGTAATATCAAGTTAATTTACAGTCCACTATATTTAAACAACGGAACGTACATGTTTTATGGTCCGTCGGCTACGGAGTCACAGTAAATTTGGTGAGTCAGTGTGTTTTTTTATCTTTCTTATTAGATAATGGAATTTACAACGCTTAAGACTAAAAAGCGTGTAGCTAAAGCTAAGTTAAGTAAACTGAAAGAGAAAATTAGCAGTGACTTACGATTCTGCTGATGTTGATCAGTTGGAACTTTTTAAATCTAGATTAAATGACTTAATGACCGAACTTTCGGATATTTTTTAGTAACATATTTGTAGTGTGTGAAGAAAAAAGATATTGATGTATTTATAGAAGAACAACAGGTCATACAAGATACTGTTGATGAGTTAATTTTAATGCTAACCAGAGTTAAGAATGTTAAAGACATTAGTGTGGAAACTAAATCTTGTGAAATAGCGAGTATACGCTTACCTAAGCTAACTCTTCCTGTATTTAGTGGCAGTACTGAAGAATGGTTATCATTTTTTTGATTTATTTAAAACGGCGATAGTGGATAATGACCGTTTATCAGGTGCACAAAAGCTACAATATTTAAAGGGTTCTTTAAAAGGAGATGCTTTGCGGATTGTTCAAGCTTTAACTATTTGTGACAGGAATTTCGAAATAGCGTGGCATTTATTGTGTCAAAGATTTTCACATAAGAGAGAATTACTTTCATCGTTATTAAAGAAAATCTTGTATTTATCAAATTTACAAGCTGAAATTCCTAGTCAGATATTAGCGTTAGTAGACACTGTAAGAGAGTGTGTATGTTCGTTTGAAAATCTAGGATTCAAAGTGGAGCAATTCGCGGATACTATTTTAATGTTAATAGTACAGTTTAAATTGGATTCTTCGACGAGAGGATGGTGGGAAAGAACATTAAAGAGTGAGGAAATACCAACACTTAATAATCTGCTAGAGTTCTTGAAATCTCATGCCAGAACCTTGCAAGCAGGTAAAACGCAAGGTGTTAAAAAACAAGTTACAAAAGACAAATTAACTTCATTGGGCTTCAGAGATTCGCGCGCAGTGTACGTATTGTAAAGCCGGTAAAGCCGGTCATTCAGTTTTTAAATGTAATAAGTTTTTAAATCTGAATGTTCAGGAACGCGTTCAATTTTGTCAAGAGAAATAATGTTTGTTTTAATTGTTTGGTTTCAAACCATAAAGCTTTCGAGTGTAGAAGTACACATAAATGTAAAAAGTGCTTTAAAATCATCACACACTACTACTGCATTTCGAAAGAGTTCAAAATGAACCAAAGGCACGTAAAGGAGTTTCGAACAGTTCGAATAAATTATCAGTGACGGCTAAGCCATTTTTCCCTGGGCCAGAACCTCGCGCTCAATCGGCTGGGTCAGGGGAGAATATCGCAAGTTCTAGTCCAGTAATTAAATCTTGTGTTTCAGACTTTAATTTTCAAAGTGAAGTTTTATTATGTACGGCTGTTATTAAAGTGTTAGATTCATCGGGTGAATACCAATTGTGTAGAGCCCTTCTTGACCCTGGCAGTCAAGCAAGCCTGATTTCAGAAGATTGTGTACAAAGGCTAGGGTTAGCAAGAAGAAATGCCAAAGTTTTTTATTTCATGTTTAGGGTCTTTGGATACGAAAACTAATGGGATTACGGAAATAAACTTCGTTCCGCATTTTCCGGCGAAAGTGTCATTTAAAAACACCAGTATTTATCATCAATAGAATTATTGGAAGTTTGCCGCATTTTACATTGGATAAGAAGTATGTTGAGGAATATAATGATTTAATGTTAGCAGATCCAACATTTTACAAAAGTGGGCCTGTTGATATACTTTTAGGCGTAGATATTGCCTTACCTCTTTTAAAGGGAGAAATAATTAAATGCGAAGAAGGTAAACCGGTAGCTTCTCGTTCTGAACTAGGATGGATTATTTCAGGTAGTGTGAATAATTCAAATTAATCCTACTATCTATGTTAATAATATACAAGTGGAAA